ATGATTTCTTTCCCTTAAGCTCCGAGCCGTTTTACATCCCTCGGCGTACTTTACGCGACGCACGTGCAATTTTCACCTTTTCCGCGTGCGAGACCTCGCGTTGTGGATCGATATCGGTCGACGAAGAAATTTTGTTGAAAATATTACTGGGGACCTGGGTGTAACGTAACATATGAGACCCATTTCAGCGATGAATCTAGAACACAAAGTTGTTCCCAAGTTATAGCCACTTTTGTGCTCAGGTAGTTCTGAAGATACCCACGCACGGTCGATATTATTGTGCAATATCGAATATTGCCAATAATATCGACCGTCTAGGGATGATATTGTGGAATGACGCAGTATATTGAAACAATGAAAGAGAATCTCGTACCAGTGGAGTCCTGACAATATAGCGAACCGTGTCCAGATAGTATTACCTCTGTCTTCTGCATACTTTCGCACATGTGACTCTAGACGTGTGTATCTATGCACGTGTGCTTTAGAGAGTTAAAAGTGAAGACTGTGTACGTTCCAGACGTACGTTGTGTACTCCAGAGTCTAATTCATGCATTGAAGATGTGGACTTTCAAATTTGCCTTTGAATTTGTGCCTTTTTTCAGTATTGTAAGATATTGAATAAATTTTCGAACTCCTGTTACCGTTTTGGTATAGACAGTAGTAGAACAATAATCAAGGAAGTTTTCGGTCTGAGTGAATAAATAAATAAACTAGTTCTGCCTCCAAACATTCGTGGCACGTGCAGTCAGTTTCATAGCGCAGTAATGCGAACGGTGGTTAAGAATCACTGGGTTAGGCGTTGCCTCGAACCTCGTTGTTTGCACGTGCTGGCTTCCTCCACGGGTCTAACTGCGCGTTTGTACGATTTGCTGGAACTTCGAGTGCGACCAACTCGAAAAAATTAGTTTTGGGAGTGATATTGCTCCCGGAATATTTTTCCTCACGTTGGGGAGAACGGGAAAATGTTTTTTCTCATGTGTGGCCGCAGAATATTTCAACTTGTCGAAGCATATATTAGTTCTAACTTATAGAGAGATTATAACGGATCGTATAATTTAAATTTTGATTTCATGTCCACGTAAGGTGCCAAACCAGGACATCAATTATTCAGTAATAGTTCCACATACAAGTATTTTTTCCTCATTCGTAAAGTACAAGTGTAACGTATACATTTTACGAGAAATTCAATTGTTTCAATAGTATGTGAGATTTATTAAAGTGATTTATTAAGGTGATTGGTGCAAACTTTAAATAGTGTATTAATAAAGTTAAGCAAAAGTGTTTTATTAAATGTGAGCTTGGACATCACTTGTTCTGTAGCATTGTTACCAGTATCATTATCATTTCGACACAGGCGATGGCGTACTAAAAATGTTTAACTTCTTCTGACCTAGATATCTGTAATACGCTATTGCTCAACTTCTCGGGTTATTTCCAGAGCATTGGAAGCGATGCTACCGAGACCAGTCGCATTTTTCTAAGACGCTTTTCCGGCAGATAGCGAGGATTTATGTACTCTTAAAGTTTTACATTACATCTCCAGCCACGGTTTGGGGTTCGCGGGGCTAAGTACCAGCAGCAGTTGGAAAGGCCACAAAATCGATTTCGGATATGTGCTGTCTATAACTTGGTCCATTCTACGGCCAGATACGACCACGATTATGAACCAATCCCGCGGTTACTTAACATAACCGCGTTTTGGCTAGTCTAAGGTAGCTTCTGACGCGTTGCGTATGATTAGAACACAAGAGAGAAGATATAGAGTCTAGATTAAATTAAATTTCAATTAAATACGACGGTTGTAAAGGTCCTTAATTCTATGAATAAATACACGCTTAGATTTGATATTTCTTCGAGCAAAATTACAGATTTCTATATTTTCAAATTGTTTCTCTTGAAATTAGAAATAAGAACGTTCAAGAACGTCATCGAGAATTCTCGAGACGAAATTCTTGCACACAACGGGTAATCGTAACCGATGAAATTTCACTCGTAGCCCACGCCTGCGTCCCTAGCGTGCTCATTACAGGCTTCCGCAGTGCTACAAAGGATTCCACCTTCTTACGTAACACTGTCCTCCTCACGTCTCTAGGGGTCCGTGTCTCAACTCGCCCTCAGACCCCTTCCAATTCCTTGGAGAGGTGCTTCTCATCGCGGAGCTTCTCAAACGCTTTGATGTTGAATTAATGCAAGTCAGATTACCAGCCTTGTCTCGCAAGTTGGCGCGCTGCTAATCAATCTAGATACAAAGAATCGATTCCCGTCGACCCGAAAGCCCAGCAACGTGGTTCCTCGGCTGGGAAAAAATGTCTCTCGTCTTCTGAATAGTGCAAACCACGTTTCTGATTGAAATTCCGTTTCTGAAGTTGCGCACCGAATTTCGTTTCGTTGCCAGAACTGAGCTGCATCGCACTTTCGATGCGACTTCTTTCGAGAACACGAGAACGTCCACAAACCGAGGAGGGAGTATGACAAAAGTCGCGCGACGATCCTCACATATTTTCTCTGTCTACGTTTCCGAAATTCTCAAACAGTCTCGGAAACTGGGGATGGAGTCTTTCTAGAAACACCACTCGAGGAAACTCTGGGAACGCGAAATATTATCTAATATTCAACCGAAACAAGTTGCCGAATGGACCCACCGAAATTGGATACAATTCAAATAAAATATCTTACTACACGAGACAATCAAAATAAGCGAAGTTATATCGAAATAACGACTATGTTCTAGTCGCAATTTCAAAATTAGTATAACTGCACTTACGTATGCTCGCCAGGCGAGTTTCAAATCAGATTTCCACTCGTCCGAAGTTTTAATGGGTGATCGTGTAAACATGATTTCGAAATCAAATACTCGAACTCGGTTGTAATTAGTGGAGTATACTTTGCGGGGATGAACTTAGTTACGTCGTTGGCGAACACCGACGAGCTTCGAAACGCGGAAATTTTATGCGAGAAATTACTTTCCGGCTAGCTACTTCGCGAAAAAGTTCGTCTTCCTTGGCATCGAAGATGATTCGACGAAACTTTTTGTCCTGGCCACTTTTGTCGTCTTAGTCAATGTCATCGACACAATGAAACCTGATTTACGACCCTGAATCTTATTTTGTCTTATTTTTATCATGGTAGTACAAACACTCGAGCAACTGGTACAAAGAGGAAAGGAACTCTTGGTTATTATTATTATAATATTTTGGGACTTCGATTTTCGCTAACTACATTACATAATTCAATTCTAGTTTAGAGAAGAACGAGACGAAAGAGCTCTAACCCAGACCTCAGCTTTCAATTTGCAAAAGTCTGAAAGAACGCACGACTCGCCTGGGTCAACCATTTTACGAGGTTTTGGTTAGTATAAATTGTGAAACGGACCGTGAATAATCCCGACGATCTAATCTTTCGCCACAAGGTGGTAGCAAAAAATTCTCATAAAACACCCTTACATGAATTACGATCGTCGAATCTTCTCTCGGCTCTCCCATATACATATCTAATTTTCATGCATAAATTTCCACCAAAAAATAACTTACACGTGTTGCAATAAAAGAACCTGCCCTCCCGAGAGATTTATCGTGGCTTCCACGACTGCATTCCTCTCGTGAAAAATTGCTTTGAAAATATCACAAAAGCCACTTCCTTCGATCTACAATCGTTACAGTCATTTTCGTTACGGCGATTTATCATAATTGCGGTTTTTGCCATTTTCACGAGAAATTTCGCGATTAAGTCCGACAATGAACTCGAGAGAATAGCACCAAGAGAGAATAGCTTTCAGAAATTTTTTGTAGCATCTGTATTCATTTCCGAATGTTCGTAGTAGTATTAATGTTCTCTTTATCTGCTAATTGATTTTAAAATAGAAGCTTTTGGACACAATGGTTACAATTTAATATTAGATATAGAACTAAGAAATTGATGAATAGTAGCTTATTAAGAAATAAAAAGGTCAACTTCCCAAGTCACTGAATTTTCTTAGAAACCAATAAAGAATATTGCATAATAATATTTTCTTATGTCTTGCAACACTTCCATTCACTTTAACTACAGAAATTTTCCTTCCTCATATTTTAACAGAATCTATTCCAATACGAATCAATTCTACGACTGCAAAATAGAAAGTCTTATAGAAAGTCTATATTTCTGCATTTTGCAGAAGTATGCTTTATGTTGATGGAATATATTGTATTTTGCTGGAATTTTTTTGTATTCTCGATTAAACGAATCCCCGTTTGTCCAACAATATTTAAACAAGCCCTGGCGTAAATCGATCCTAATAATTGTCAGAGATTCGCGACTGACAAACATTATTCGTACACCGTAGGGCAGATGCACTTTGTTCGTTGTCATTGCGGAAAGCTCGACGGTACCCAAGTGCACAGCAGTTTGCTGCAGACAGGTGACGATCCATTGTGCCGGTAAAATATTGACACTCGATATTCTCCTGCACTCAGCACGGCGGGAAAAACGTTTACACGTAAGCCCATCTCCATGATGGAGGTCCGAGCTTTTTGCACGGACCTCCGCTGTTGCTTTCATCGATATTAATTCTACCTGTTATCCTTTTAGGGGCGAATGCACGGCTGACAATTATTTTAGTTTCCGCACGTGGCACGACCTACTGTTCATCATCGGTTGACGTTTTCGAGCTGTCCTGGCTCCGAATTTGTCAACAAGGCTGTTATCCAATGTTCTTATCAAGGCTGTATGTTCTATGCAAAAATAACATCGTGGACTTCTATAGTCCACTTTGCTGGGATTCAATTGAACCGTCTAAAGATAGTTGACATAATCAAACTTGTCGCGATGCGGTACCAGTTTAAATTTCGATTTGTCATGGACTCTATAAGGAGAAATCTATACACTTACAACTACGAAAATGGGTGCAAAAGCTTTGTTAATATTTGAGTAATTTTGAAAAGAACTTCAATACTCGCGAGTCGAATTGATTATCCTCCGAGGATTGCAGTTTGAACTGCAATGATTTTTACGTGTTCACTTACCGTCTTGTTTCCCAAGTTCATGACGCGGCAATTCAAGTACGTAGTCTTGCCTAGAAGAGCGGTCACGTTCTTCGAGGCGGACACGTCGAAGTAGGGCCCGGTCCTTGCACTGCTGTCGTCCAGGCTGTTCTGATTAGAGTTGCCATTTTTCCCGCTGCTTCCATGGAGCATGCTGTAGCAGTGCGCGCCTGGAAACGAGCAAAACGACAACGATGAATATTCATGCACCACGGAAGACGAATTTTCCAATACATTTGAATTGGAAATGTGAAGAGTTAGAAAAGAAGCTGTTGCGTTCGCGATGATTCGTTATTATTTATACCGAAGAAAATCAAAATTCTACGTTGAAGAGATCGTAGACTGTTTGAGTATTAGTGACGATGCTTCGTTTAATAAAAGTGGCGAAGGAAGTGATGAGATATTGCTAAGGCTGGGTTTACGATACGGTCCACCAGAAATATTTCGCCATGCTACCTTTGAGGGTCGTTAAGTGAGGATTTGAGGCTGTACAAGTTCATTGCCAAGACTCCCTAACTTTCTACGTTAAAGGCGACCATGTGCACTTTCTAGGGTTCTACAGATTTGTCCTCAACAGATGATGAATCGTATGATGTATCATAAACCCACAACGTTGGTGGACACGTTCCTTTTTAATTCCTGAGCCATAATCTCCAAAACACTCTCAACAATAGGGTCTCAGTTACTGATCTCTAGTTTCACCTAAAGAGGTGATCGTAGCAAGGTGGTCAAATATAGTACGCTATCCGAAAGAATAAATCCAACCAGGGATTAACAAGAAGATTCTGTCTGTTGAGGATTTTGATCTCTATGCCAAACTTGTGAAAACCGAAACAGCACTGGGAACCTAAGATCCAATGCAAACGATGCTGAACCCTCGGGATCCCTAGTACACAACTGCGGATAAACAAGAACAAGTGTAGGAGACCCTAATCTCGCGAGATCGATCCGACTAAGAAGACTCAGGATTCGTAGAACTTCAACGTACGAGTTAGAGATCTATGGTTCTTGAGCAGACTTTTGAGATGTTATAGATCTCGGTCATTTTCAGAGTCATATTATAAAATAAATGGAATGATATCACTCTGATTACAATGAAGAAATTAACAGCCATGGTGTCGAAATTGCTAAAGGAATTTTCAAGATAATTGTTTCTTATTATCACTGGTGTTCCATTAAATAAACTATTGATAGAACATATATTCCTATCCTACACAGTACCAGATACTAATAAATAGATAAACTCTCAGTTTGTTTCGATTAATGATACACGTTGCATTCAACGTTGCCAGCGGTGAATTCGCGAGCAATGAACGACGATAATGCCACAGTCGAGACAAAGGGTAGTTACATGTGCTCAAGTAATGCACTTTTTTCACGGTGACTCGCCTATTCGATTAAAACGTCAGTCAAGCAGAGCGGCTCGCAGTTTAGGTGATAAATGTCCATGTTTTTATCCGTGTACACCGCGGTTACGAAGTGAACCACCCCGGACGAATCTGCTCCAGCCAGAGCTGCACACAGGGACAAAGCCCTTTGCTCGCGACAATCGTCGGCATCGTCTATTGTTCTACCAACGGAGACCGTCGCGACGGTACACTCGATTCAACTAGCTCGTTTATCGAACGAGTTCATCGATGAATTTCTTAATGCTTGCTGATAGGAAGATAAATTGCATTGATAGTAGCCGACTGTTGCTCAACTAAATCGCGAGTGGCTGGTAAGTTCTGATGTCCGATAGGCTGGTGACAGCGTTAGAATCTTGTGGAGTCTCGTCTGTCGACGTTTCGAGTCGATCTGCAAACTTATGGAAGTGCTCGAGACTCGAGGGATTTCAATGAAATTTCATCGAAGTACGAAGTCCAGAATTAAAATATATACGCGTGTCTGAATTTGTAGAAAGTATTTCCAGTACCATCAAAAATACAATTAATATAACTGTATTATAATTTGTATGACCCATATCTTGTTTAATTTATTATTATCCAGAATGGTTCAAACCAACCATGAATTTAATACCAGATAATTCGACGATTAATCAAATATATTGTAATTACAAGCACGATAAATTTAATCATATTAGAAGAATTTTCGGATGAACGAATAAAATGATTTAATTAAAAATTTCGAAGAAGTACAATCTCCGCTTTTACTGAAGCTAGAAAAAGTGAAGTCGGTCCGTTTCCCTTAAAATGTCCAAACCGTGGCTAGGACGTCGAACAATAAGAGCAGTTTACTTTCTCACACGATTTTTAATCTCGAAACGTCGTGTTCCTCGCTAAAACGCTCTGTAAGCGTTCTCAGGTCCGTCCGAGATACCACTTCCAACTGTTCTCACTTTTGGCGAGTTGTAGAACAAACTTCCGTAATGAACTTTAATGCAGTATACCAAACTTCGAAAGAAGAACGAGAAACGTTGATTTCGCCGCTGTCCCGAACAATCACCGAACTCGTCTATTAGTTTAACATACAGTCACGAACAGAGGCGGCCGGAATTTTATTCGAATAACGGATGACCCATAAAAAGCCAAGGAAATGTTCCAAGTGAGATTTACTAAACTAACATTTAAAAAATAATTCATTAAAAATTAATATGCAGAAAGATACTCTTTCGAGCTAAAAAATATAATTGGGTCCACAATTTGTAGTCCTTACAGTCTTTATTTATTATCGCTGTGTAATAGTTTAACTGCCTCACTCTATATAGTAATAATTAGCATTCGCTTAAATATTAATAACAATCACGATTCAGAATGAATATTCATTGAAGACATTAATTGTGAGGAATTCACGATTCAGAAATTATAAACGCCATTCGATCGTGCGCAGGGCACAGTCTGAAACGCGACACGGCGAAATGGAAGTTCGTCCAGAGCTTCTTCCGCCTCTTCTATATTAAATCTCGTGAAAGCAACGGACGGTCCACGTTATTTGGCGAGCAAAGAAATCGCGTTCCCGCGCAGGCGAGCAGTGTGATTTAAGTTAAAATGGTCCAGCCAGCTACATGACGACCGTCTACAATGGACTCAGGATTAATTTAATCATGGATCAGCCCTATTGAGCGTGTTCCATTCTCTTTCGTCCTCGGAGGGCGTTCCCGACCATTTTCCGAAGAACGCCCCGGGATGCTTTGTTCTTCTTCGTGATGTTTCCTTTGATACACGCCGTCACGGAGAAAACGAAATTCTAATGCAACGATGAAGACAGATAAAGGCAAGTCGTTGGGAATGGGGGTACAAACAGAATGTCGCTAGATTGTTACAAAGCAGTTGAAGACTTATTTCGGAATGTGGAAATATAAATGTTTCTATTGAAATGTCCAGGACAATTAAATGATTTGTAATGGTTGATTAGTCGTTTTGCTTTGGGCGCCAAAATTTAACACAGATGTATAATCTAGGTTATTATTTTTATAATAAAGAGTGATAATATGGGTTAAAACGTCACCCAACTTAGACTTCATTCTTTTCTCGTGTCCACAACAATTCCTTTCCACTGCACGCGCCAGTGAAAAAGAATCCATCGAAGCTGCCTTCACCCCATGAACAACCCTGCAAAACGCTCGCGCGAAAAGAGTTGGTAAATCGGTATGCATCTCGAATTCCCAAGAAACCAGAACTGCGAGCTATGGTCGTTTTGGACGCGCGAACAATTGCCTTGAAACGCAACACTCGTTTTTCTGGAGCTTTTTCCTGCCTCGCAGAAGAGTCAGGCTACTCTTACGGAAACTATTTCATCCCAATTTAATTCTACTTCTCCGTTTGCCACTCCAAATGCACTCTTCCAGAGATCCACGCAGGCTACGCGGAATGAAAATTGATTCGGCTTTGGAGGCCGTAGTTTAATCGCGATACTTGCGTCGCGTTTATCAGCCTCGACGGTCCATTAAACCAGACTAAGCGAGGATAATATCGTTTCATAACAGATGACCCGCGAACCTTGCGTGTCAGCGATTTTCAGCGAATTTCGAATTTATCCCGCGCGCCCGCCTTTCCTTCCTTCGTACGTCACTTCCTTCTGCGTCCGCGATACGGCAGATTGGGTCGTTGGATTTGGGTCACGCGAATTAGCCGCTTTGTACCAAATAACTCTTGTAAAAACACTGTTGTCGCAAGTATAGCTACTGAATATTCATCAGTGTTAACAGAATTGTCGAAATGTTTCATTCCATCGTCTGCGAACTCAACGCGACCGTATTCAGCCGTTTTGAAGGTTTGAAAAAAAATAGTGTTTCAAAAACCAGGGAAAGAAAGCGTAGTAAAAAGAGACCCAGATGTGTTAAGAGTCGCACGAGCCGAATGAAATGATCCAGAAATTCTTTTTTCCTCACCTAGAAGCCCATCCGTTCCGTCGTGCCACGGTCGGTAACAACGATGAAATTTCGTCGCGCGCGTCTTCCTTCCGTGTCATCGGAGTAGGCGAGACGGTTCTCTCTTAAATTTTCAGATTTTACGGCTCGCGAGTCGAAGCTGGCTCGTAAAACATTCGCGCCGCGGAGAGAAACGCGGACGCGAGAAAGAAACCTGGGGGTTGCTGTGGGCTGAAGGGGGCTGGGGACCGTGAGAGGATCTTTCAATCTAGCTAGGATGCACCACGCTCGTCGAAGAAAGAACAGGAAGGCGGTTGCCGAGCAGCGGGCCCGGGTCTGCTTTAAAATTCAAATTCACAACTTTTGCTTAAACGTCTCTTAGATAGTCGAGATAGCTTGGTCCCTTCAGAATGCTCCTCCTCTCCCTTCCTCGCGGTTTTTACCCAACGAAACTGTTCGCTTTCCTGCCTCGAGGCTGAACCTTGCGGGGAATCTCCTGGGTTCGGTGAAGATAGGTAAGTTCGAACAAAAAGAGCGCTGAGTAATTAGTGTACTATCGCGTCTGCAATTAGCAGCGTACCAAAAGCTTGCAGAGGTTGTGAGACACTGATGTGTATCGCCAATCTGTCGCAGAGTCTGGTTAATTCGATTATGGATAAGAAATGAGGATTCCTGATTTATTTAGAAAAATAGAAACAAATCATCTCCCGAATCTTTTACAAGAAAGTTGCTTCTTTCAAATACCCCAACAACGTGTAACTTATTAAGAGAAAAAATTTTAAAAAGACTAATCTCGACCTAAAATTCTCTTGGTAATCTATTTTTCTACCGACTCAGACTCATTGCCTTTCAGGTAAATCT